GAGGGTGTGTTCCAACTATAGGGGGATCACACTCCTCAGCCTCCCCGGGAAAGTCTATGCCAGGGTACTGGAGAGGAGAATTTGACCGATAGTCGAACCTCGGATTCAGGAGGAACAATGCGGTTTTCGTCCTGGCCGTGGAACACTGGACCAGCTCTATACCCTCTTCAGGGTGGCGGAGGGTTCATGGGAGTTTGCCCAACCAGTCCACATGTGCTTCGCGGATCTGGAGAAGGCATTCGACCGTGTCCCTCGCAGCGCCCTGTGGGGGGCATTCCCCCGGAGGAGCTGGAGGAAGTGTCTGGAGAGAGGGAAGTCTGGGCATCTTTGCTTAGACTGCTGCCCCCGTGACCCGGTCCCGGATAAGCGGAGGAAAATGGATGGATGGATGGACTTCCCAATGTGCAGTAGTGCTCTTTTAAGAAAACGGTCTCCCAGTTTCCTGAGGAAGAAACCTGCCTCCTAGTACAGCGGTGTCGTACACTGGGGGGTTTTAATAGCTGGTGGACAACAGTAAGGGTTGTTGAAAATTAGTTTCCCATTTGCTGTATTTGCTTCATTTGGCTTTTATTTACTTTATTTTAATGTATAAAAGGCTGATAAGGGTGCTACAGTGGCCCTGAGTAAGGGAGAAAGAGTATCAGTCAGTTCCTTGAACGGCTGCCCAGACAGGATGGAGACAGAGGGACACCTGTACCCCTTCAAAGAAGCAGAGACAGAAGGTTTTGTAGTTTAAAACGGCAGCCCTGGGAGTTCTGGAGAGGTAACATGCAGTACAAGACCCTAGTTTTACTGCAGTAACATGAATATGCCATGACTGTGGAGTCACTGCTGTCCAGATGAGAGAAAACCTGAGCTGAGCTGCCTTCATTTATTACAGAAGGCTCAAAGTAAAAAGCTTAACAAGCTGCAGCTTGACGTGCTCAGCACCTTCAAAAGGTTAAAAAAATAATCTTCTCCTAAAAAGATGCTAACACCGAAGCAGTCAAAATTCAGACAGTAAACCACAGGGTGGTTTGCCATAAAGAAGCTTCAGAACATTTCTAGTTTTTGCAATCATACCATTATTATGGAAAAAACTATTCTAGAGTAACTTCTTATTTGTTCAATTTATTTAAAATACTTTTTAACTTGACTCTGTGCTCTCCACTTTTGAATCTAAACCTACAGCTGTGCTCGCAGTGTTGTGTTGTATATAGTGCACGTGTGTGTTACCTGTGTGTGTGTTGTGGTCTCCTCAGGCAGGAGCTGCTCTCCGTCCTGCTGCTGCTCAGTGTGATGGGTCTGCTGCAGGACATCTGCCTCAGCTACACACAAATCACACATGCACACAGACGTGATACAGAGTCCACAGCCTTAAAAATGGCTGCAGGTTGGGGATGAGGGTGGAGAAGCAGCGGTGGATGGCCCTCATATTACAGGAAAATAGCGATTCACTGGTTCATATAAACAAACAAAGACACTGACGTGGCTGTAAAAGCGAGTAATCTGCTGGTTGTGTGAACAGTGGGAGTGGTCACTGGTATCTTATCTCCGTAAAGGGGTTTTTCCACTATAGGAACCTGCTGAAACGTGACGAGCCGACACTCTCACAGGTTCTGTGTTTGTTTTCACTAAGGTGCACCTGCTTTGGAGGTGCATTCTGGGGGGCTAAATTTCAGCCTGCCCTCCATGGAGGACCTGTACACCTCACGGGTCAAAAGGAGGGAGGAGAGGATCACTGCAGACCCCTCACACCCCGGACACAAACTGTTTGACCTCCTCCCCTGTGGACGGCGCTACAGGTCACTGTGTGCCAAGACAATCAGGCACAGGGACAGTTTCTTCCCCCAGGACATCCCTCTGATCAACACTTAACCCATGACTGTGTAACAGGACGACAACCCTCAGTGCAATAGGGGTGTGACGAGATCTTGTGCGACAAAATGTCGCCATATTAAAACATGGCGATAATTCTCGTCAAGGCAAAAACTGTACATAACAGGACTGGAGTAGCAGACAGTGTGACAGGGTGTGATGGCAAAGTGACAGCACATTCACATTAGTCCAGCAAAAACTCAACTTCCTGCTGTGTTTTAACGCTGTGTTGGTCGGGGTTGCAGCGGGAGTGTTGTAGGCACAGTTCGTACACAGTTTTAAGGTCATGTGAAATCCTACAGAAGAGAAGTCAGTCAGCTGAGTCTGTGGCAAAACCTTACAGTAGCTGCACATTTTTTACTGTGATCATTCACACTCAGGTAGAAGAACTTAAGTGATATTAATTGCAAGGTGATTAGTTAAAACATTTCAAAATCCACCTGCAGTGTTTTGCGTTTTGTGACTTTCAGTCAAATAAAACTATATTTTTCCAGTCGTCACTGAAGATTTCTTAAAACATCGCCTTGAGCATCATCACACTCCTACTTGTAAATATACCTTAGTATATATCTATCTGAAATCTCCATCTATACTGTGTATATACACATATTTTATAAGTACTTTATTTTTCTAATGCACATTCCTTTTTCTTGTTTGCACATTCTTTCTTTTCTCATCTCATTTGGGGGGACCAATCTCAGTAGACATCGGGCGAAAGGCAGGGTACACCCTGGACAGGTCACAGGGCCAACACACACACACACGCACACACACACACACGCACACACACACACACGCACACACACACACACGCACACACACACACACGGGCAATTGAGAGTTACCAATCAATCTAAGCCACATGTCTTTGGAGGAAGCCAGAGTACCTGGAGAGAACCCGCACAAGCATGGGGTGAACATGCAAACTCTGCACAGAAAGGTCGCGAATCCGGAACCTTCTTGCTGTGAGGCAGCGGCACTACCCACCGCGCCACCATGCTGCCCTCTTTCCTTTCTTGTTCTCTCAATCTTATCTTGTTTACTTGCCTTACAGAACAACATTGTATATGCACATTGAGAGCCAAACTCCTCTACCTGGCCAATAAAGCTGATTCTGATTGTGATTCTGATTCTAAAGACAGGATCAGATTATTTTAGCTGATACTGATCCATAAAAATAAGCCTGGATCAGCTCCGACAGTGATCTTCAGGATTGGTCTGGAACATCATACTACTGACTTTTCATCAAGGTATTTAATAACCCAGAATGTTCTGCGCCACTGATCGCCAACGCCATCATGACAAGCAGGAAGCTTTGTCCCTACCTGTACTCTGCTGTGTTCTGCAGTCTTCCAGCAGGGGGCATGATGACTCGATAACAGGGGGAACATCTGCACCCTCATGGGTCTGCAGGGAGGAGAAAGGGGAGTACTCTTGGGAGCTGGAGGTGATGGTGCTCCTGATGGGTCGAGCCTTGCCAATGCACAGACTCTCAACCACTATGTCCTCTCTGTCAACTTCCTGATGAGACAAGTGAACGTAAACAACACAACACTAATGTTTATCATTTGTATTTGTAGTTTCTCCCATTGGAGACTGACTTGTGATAGTAATAAAATGTTCTTTTCAACTCTCAAATTTCAATTTCAGTACTTATATCAGCCTCAAATATCCCATATCTATCTTTTAAGTTTGATTCATGGTTCTGCATTGAATTTATGCTGTAGGTATGAAGTAGCGAATGCGTAGCCTCGTCCCCTACGCTGTAGCCTGATGTGCACGTCTCCAACAATGCAAGCACAGGGTTGCAGTAACAGACAACAGCTGTGACTGGTTGCAACGCATTTCCTCGTTCATGTCTCTCAGTGGCCGGACAAGCAGAAACAGTCCCCCTGGCTCTGCCTCAGCTGGTCCAGCGGTCGTACAGACCGTCTCCTCCGACGTCTCCTCTCTTATCTGTGCTGCAGTCATTTCAGTAAAACTAACTGCTGCTCAACATCTGTCACTTTTAACTCCAACATGACCCGCTGAGTCGCCACCGTTAGTAAGTGGTGAAGAGACGCAACATAGTGGCATACACACGCCATCGCCAACTAGTGTTTTTGCGGTGTAATTGCAGGGTGACGGACACACCAGGCACACAAGTTTAAATCAAATCAAATCAAAATGTATTTATATAGCACTTTAAAAACGTCTGGTTGACCAAAATACTTTACAAGGACAAGGTAAGAACTAAGAGAGCGCACGGTGCTTGCCGTTATTTTTTGACTTATCTACAATGTTACAACAGCGAATTCTCATCTCAGACCTAAAGCTAAACAATGAGGTGTTCATATGTTCTACTATTTCTGTTCAGAAGCAATTCGGTTTATACATTTCTCACAAACTCTCGCTCACAAGACTTTTTCTAACAAGATAAAGTATTACGTGATAGTTTAAGGATATCCTTCAATGGTCATAACCTCCAGGCTGTTGCGTGTTCATGTGAGCTTGCCTGACATTCACCGGTGCCAGGCAAGAGTGAAGAGGGAGGTGGCAATGGCCAAACAGAAAGCATATGATGAGTTGTATGCCAGGTTAGACATGAGAAAAGGTGAGAAGGACTTGTACAGATTAGCAAGACAGAGAGATAGAGATGGGAAGGATGTGCAACAGATAATGGTGACTAAAGACAGAGATGGAAAGGTGCTAACAAGTGAGGAGAGTGTGCAGAGAAGATGGAAGGAGTATTTTGAGGAGCTGATGAATGAGGAAAATGAGAGGGAAAGAAGGGGGGAAGAGGTGAATATTGTAGAGCAGGAAGTAGCAGAGATTAGAAAGGGTGAGGTGAGGAAGGCTCTGAAGAGAATGAAGAGTGGAAAGGCTGTTGGTCCAGATGACATACCTGTAGAGGTGTGGAAGTGTCTAGGAGAGACAGCAGTGGAGTTTCTATCTAGTTTGTTCAACAGGATTTTAGAGAGTGAGAAGATGCCTGAGGAATGGAGGAGAAGTGTACTAGTGCCAAGAATCAAAGGAAAGGTGTACAAGACAGTAGTGAGACCAGCTATGCTGTATGGGTTAGAGACTGTAGCAGTGAGGAAAAGACAAGAGGCAGAGATGGAGGTAGCAGAAATGAGGATGTTGAGGTTCTCTTTAGGAGGGACCAGGATAGACAGGATTGGGAATGAGCACATCAGAGGGACAGCTCAGGTCGGCTGTTTTAGGGACAAGGTCAGAGATGTGCAAAGGAGGGACCGTGGTTATATTGGTAGAAGGATGTTGGAGATGGAGCTGCCAGGCAAGAGGTCAAGAGGAAGGCCAAAGAGGAGATATATGGATGTGCTAAAAGAGGACATGAAGTTAATTGGGGCGAGAGTAGAGGATGCCGAAGACAGAGTTAGGTGGAAACAAATGATTCGCTGTGGCGACCCCTAACAGGAACAGCTGAAAAAAGAAAAAGAAGAGCTACTTGAATGGAGGTGATGTTTCCACTACTCGGTGGTAAGTTTGGTGATGTTAAGTTTAATAAACACAGGTTTGTGTTTGGTCTAAACCCACTTTGTTTAGAGTGTTACACATCTCTTTGGGGGGCGGCTGTGGCTCAGGAGGTAGAGCGGGTCGTTTCCTAACCGGAGAATTAGCGGTTCGATTCCCGGCTTGTCCAGTCAACATGTCGAAGTGTCCTTGAGCAAGACACGGAACCCTCCCGGTGCTCCCGGTGATGTCACCGGTGTGTGAATGCGTGAGTGCTTGGGAGTGCGAATGGGTGAATGGCCAAATAATGTGAAAGCGCCTTGAGTGTGCTGTAAAAAAAGCGTAGAAAGGCGCTATAAAAGTATAAGATCATTTATCATTTGGTACATATACTGTTGTTTACCTATCTATGGAGGACACATTCACATTCATTAATGCTGTTGTGGTTCGTTCTGCTGTCCACTTGTGAGACCACATCGGCAACAGGAGTTGTGCGCGTTCATGAACTGTCCTCTCGTGTTACGGAAGAGGCTTCTTTGCTCTCCGATTCTGAAACTATGACAAACTATCTGAAGTTATGAGGCATGCCAAGTTAATCTGGAGGTACCCAAGATTAAACATTAAATGGTTGGAAACAAGCAAAATGAGCAGCCATGGGGACTTTAAAGTGTTCACAACGGCATAGGCCACTTATGTAGAGTACGACGTAGGTTCTACATAGATTCTATATCTTCTTCAATTCTAAATTGATTCACAAATGCTAACAACTGATTTTTGTCACAATGTTGATAGAAACACACACCATCTACTAAAAAAGAGCAGCAAAATCATTTTGAATCGAATTGTGACAAGTATTGGAATCAAATCAGTTCAACACAGAACCATAAATCAAGCTTTAGGGTAACGTATACAGACACTGCAGCTACTGCATGTGTGTGTATGTGCTTCATAGCTACCTGTGTGCTGCAGGGGGGCAGAGGGCTCAGTTTGGTATCTATCTTGTAGAAAGTCACCTCCTGCTCCAGCTCGTACAGTCTGTGAAGGGCGCTGGTCAACTCAGCTGTCGTCTTCTCCAACTACAGGCGCACAGAAAAGGCTTTTAATGTGAAAGAGCTGCAGGAAGTTGTGAGTTTGCATCAACAGAAGAAACAGTGCAAGCACAGCAAACAGAGGATGAAGGCATATGGTATGAGACAAGTTTTAGACAAAGACAAAAACAACCATCTGAATCCTGTTCTGTTTCATATTCAGCACCTGAGAATGTTCTGCACTTCAACAGTGAGAATATTCTCGGTATCATTTACAGGAGAGCAACCAACACACTGAACACTGAAGGGCATAACACAGTAAACACACACAAGCTACCTGGGCTCATACAGCAGCAGCCTGAGGGAGCTAGGGATGATGGGAGATTGTGTTTTAATACAATGTCAGTACCTGATAGACTACGCCCTGCAGAAAGAGAGGAGGGCGGGGCTAGAAAACAACATGCACAGACAGAGAGAGACAGGTGATGGAAAGGAGAACAAGAAGCTACAGGGAAAGACGTTTAACACTAAATCACCTGAATGCTCCTTTAATGTTTTCGATGTCTGAGGGTTATGACATCCATGCTCTAGGGCTGTCACTTTTTATTCAAATGCCGAACATTAAAAAAAAAAAAAAAAAAGTCGAACTGTAATGACCTGTTCGAATCCAACAACATACACTCTGTCAATAAGCGCAACAGGCCATTGGATGTAATTTGCCTTGCGGTGCAACAGAGGACATTGTTAAAACTCACTACCAGCATAACCAGGTACAGTCCTGTTGACCTCTCAGTAAAGTGAGCTAGTAACATTATGTTTGCAAGGACAAAAAGCACAATAGTAGCAAGCAAAGTTGTGCTGATCAGACAATAATGACACCGGAGCAGTGTCAAGGTAAACAGTTTGCTGACTTTGCAAACAAGCAGATTCCTACTCAAGTGCAACCCCACACCTGAGGGATCGCTGCAGTCTCACTCTCCAAGTGCGGCACCAAAAGTAACATTACCACAGATGACTGGCTGACCCTGGTATAGTACATGAACGTGTTTTCCTGTCATGTGACTTCTGTTATGTGGCACTGACTGGCTGCAGTCTTTGTCATGACCTGGTCATTATATCTATTAATACACTGACATGAAGTCATGCTTTGTTTTGTCAAACAAAACCTGCATTAGGTACTCTGTACTTCCTTACGAGTTTTTTGTTTTACCTTGTTCTTCTTCTTCTTCTTTCGGCTGTTCCCGAGACAGACAACAGGTAGGTTTAAAGGTTTATATTACAAGAACGTCAGTCTGAGTGTGTGTGTGTCCTACCAACTGACTCTTGGTGTGTAGTTCTTGCTCCAGCAGTGAGTGTGCATGTTGTTGTGTTTGTGTCTGAGCTGTCAGCAATCGGTTTGTCTCCTCCTGCTGGAGGAGTCGAGTCACTGCAGCCTGCTGCTCCCTCTGCAGCCTGCTCAACTCTGATTGGCTGCTGTTCGCCTCCCGCTGCAGACGCTCCAACTCCTCTGATCACAAACATCATTAATTAAAAACAGTGTCAGTGTCTGATCATTCAGCTGAAATATTTACATTAAATGAAATGACGTACCGGTGTTGAAGCACTGATGGGCATGTCCTCGCTCCTCCTGAGCAACTGGCAGCTCATCAAGCCTGTCCAGGGTCCTGAGGTGATAGAGCAAGAAGAGGCGGGAGTGCGGCAGCAAGGAGGCGGGGTTTCCTGACACAGACAGCTCCGAGAGGCTGCTCAGAGAACGAAGTCGGGCCACCTCATATAGCTGCAGGTGTACACACAAATACATGCTTATAGTTGCATATCTGTGAAACCTAAACATAACCTCAGACGTGAAACCAAGTTCTGATTTAAAGAGTTTGAACTTGACAAGTTCAGTTCTAGAGTCCAAACCCAAAGACACAGTGCACTCGGTGTTCAACTGGTAATGCACAGTTCTTGTTAACCATTACACCATTTGAGCTGTGACAGTATCACGTTCAGTTTGCTGTGAAAGCTGCACTCTGGTTTGTAAAACATCTCAACTAACTCTCCTCCTATCCTCTTCCAGAGGCCAGACACACTGTGACTGTCTGGTCTAAATATGAATGGTTCCCACCTGAAAAAAATATTTAGAGGGCTTGATTTTCCTTATTTTCTGACTTATCTACAAAGTTACAACGGTGAATTCTCATCTTAGACATGACCTAAAGCACAAAGAATGAGGTGTTCGTATGTTCAAGTATTTCTATGTGGAACTATCTCGGTTTATACACATCCCACTGCTCACAAGACTTTTTCCTAACAAGATAAAGTATTATGTGATAGTTTAAGGATTTCCTTGAATGGTCACAAAATCCAGGCTGTTGCACGTTCATGTGAGCTTGCCTGACATCACAACTGGTTCTTTGCGCTGTTCACTTGTGACACAACACCAGGAGCAGGAGTTGTGTGCGTTCACGAACTGTCCACTCGTTTTAAGGAAGAGGCTTCTTCGCTCTCTGATTCTGAAACAATTCCAAAGTATTTGGAGTTATGAGGGGTGACAAGCTAATCTAGAACTACCCAAGATTAAACATTAAATGGCTGGAAACAAAAAAAATGAGCAGCCATGGGGTCTTTAAAGTGTATAAAATGTCATAAAGTGCCAGGATGATTATAACAGCAGTCTGTCTCAAAATCTCTGGCAATGTCACTGGTTGATGTGGAATACATGCTGGGACACACAGTCAGGTCCTAACGTGTCCTGATAAAACAGACGCAGTAAGAACGCCATTCTTAGCTAAACGCAGACTTTGGACTGGAACAACTTCAAGTCATTATCGGTCCCCACAAAGACAGACACAGGATGACATACACAGGTGGCTTGTACTCACAGATGCGATGAGATTGTGTTGCAGGTGGAGTGTGTGCAGTGAGTGCAGTTTCTTCCCCAGCCACACAGGAATGTGGTCGATCCTGTTGTAGGACAGGTTCAGATGCTGCAGTCTGGACAAGTGCTCCAGTCCCTCAATTCTCCTACACACAACACATACACACAACTTTTTCTTGCAATGTCATGACTCCCAACCTACAGCACTGAAGTTTTCTCCCTGTCATGTCTGTAAATGTGCTTCTTGTGGTGTAAGACTTGTCTAGCTTGACTGAAGTCTAGTGGTTCAGACTGATTATAAAGTATGAGGCTAAACACCATGATATTAAATGGCATAATTGTTCCTTCTTATCAGACCCCAGAAATTTATACTGCAACCTGTTGAGGGGTCCCACATCACTGCCCTACTGCACAATGTATTGTTCAATTACTGTGCAATGTGCACAAATACAGTCTGACTGACTGTGTGTTTGTGTCTCACTGGATGTTGTTGTGTGCCAGCTGCAGCTCCCTCAGCTGTGTCAGAGCGTTCAGTCTTTCCATCCTCTGGATCATGTTGTTGTTCAAGTTCAAAACCTGCAGACGCTGACAGCCCTGCAGGTTCTCTATGAACTGAAACACATACACACAGAAAGGCAGATAAAATCCAGACTCCACCAGTAGCAACAGCAGCTCTAGCTGTAGCTATGCAGCACTGTCTAAAGTCACAGAATGAGCTCAGCCCCGGTCAGAAAATGCTTGAGTCCTGCCTCAAAATTAAGAAGGCTATAGTGTCTGGGGACTGATGGTGAGTAGGGGTGAGTAGGTCTGAAAGTGACTAGAAGTATCTTGAAATCAACTGTGTATTACAGCAGCAGCTGACGTGAAGCCTGAACTGGGGAGATATGAAGTGTAGTCCAGCCAAGAAAGACACAATGACATAAATAATCAAGTCTGTATAAGTTCTTCTATGCTAGTGCAGCAGTGTAAACAGAGCAAAGTGATGGCCATTCTCAGGCTGTGGAGCTGTTGGATGACAACAGACAGTCCTGGGTGATCCAGTAACTGAATGGTTATGACGTGGTGCAGCGTGGTGCACTATATACCAGGCACAGTGTGTGAATAATGTCAGCAGTTCAAGTCTGACCACCAACCTTTGTCACAGGTCTGTTCATCCATCTGTACTAGTTCATATATGTCTCTCAGCAACCCACTTTGACCTGATTGTTCTCTTATGCCTTGGCTCTCAGTCTGTCTGTCCTCTGAACTGCATCGTTGTGCCATCTCATGCACACAGCTGTAGTTCAGCATGCAAACTGAACCTCTCAGAAGAAGTGACAGTGTGTTACTGGCTCAGTCGCCGTGATCTACTTTGTCATCAGACAGCTTATGGGTTTGTTTGTTCAAACTATGGTCCTCTAAATTAAACAAACAAACAAAATCCCTCACCGTATCAAACTGTCCTGCAGGACAACGCAGAAGAATTTTTTTTACCCCATGCCTCTATCAACAGACACCAACCATTTGTCAGTAGATAAAACCGTTAAACGAAACCCTTTTCTCTAACCACTTACCACTGTGGTTAAGATTGCACACAGGAACCATTTGGTTAGAGAAAGAGCACAGTCGTGGTTAAAAGAGAGTTGCCTGTTTGGAACGTAGATCGACCAGTAAATCACCAGCTTCATCTTACAGCTCAGCTCATTCACCATGACGGACCGGTACATCGACCGCATTACTGCAGAAGCTGCACCGATCTGGCTGTCAATCTCCCATTCCATCCTTCCCTCACTCATGAACAAGACCCCGAGATACTTAAACTCCTCCACTTGAGGCAGGAACTCCCCACCAACCTGAAGGGAATAA